GCATACCACACAATCTATTAGTTCTCAATTCTTTCAAGACTAATATTGAAAAAGGCAAAGCCCAGGCCAATTCTTGTCACAACCCCACCTGCTACTCATTTATCACTCAACAGATAAGTGTTTCAATAACATTTTTGGGCACCCAGCTCATCATCTATSAATTTCTCATTCGGAGAAAGTTGATATTGAATCAGAAGGATATATGTCCCCCCTTCAAGTCTTTTTGATCACATATTGAGTCTGATAAATTTGTGTAGTCCACACGATTTATCTTTTTGAGCCTAAACAGAAGCATAYGTTGCTTTATCTTTCTACACTACACAGATTTAGCATTTTATATGTTATTTTGCCAAAACATTCATAGATATGCTTTTCTTAAGCTATCGATGATTGAATGGAAGACSTGGTGAGATGAGCCTAAAAAAGTCTCATATATACAGTACATCCGTTGTACTGTGTATATTTGTTATAATCACAGACCAATCTTTCTTTAAGATTGAAAACAATTTCATATGTTGAAATTGGTTGTTATCTTCCCATTCCCTTAATCTGAAAAGATTAAATAAGTGGATTTGCAAAGATCTACTTACAATTTCATGAATTGACGACTTACGTGGAGGATTTCATTCATTCTGTTGTATGATGGAATGATTCTCATTTCATCATAAGGGGGAGTATGTAATAATGAATGAAATATCCAATTCCGATCATTTTAAAGGGGAATCTGATGTAAAGATCAAGGGGGAGTAACTTCAAAGATGACAAAAGACTCCAAGGAAATGCGACTGGACATGATTACAAAAGATTATTCTTGTGCTAAAATGACTGAAAGTTTTTTGAATGAGAAGATCAATGTTTCAAAAGTTTACCAACAAAATTTTCTTATCAAAGAGAAAGTTTGTGATTTGTTGCCTGAAGATTCTTTAAAGATCACATCTTGTACATTGTTTCTGATCTACATTGTCAAAAGAGAAGATCATCGCAGTTCTACATTCGAGGGGGAGAATGTTAGAAGATCTTTCTCAACAGATAATTGTCTGAAGATTTCAAGTGAAGATTGTTTTTGATGTTTCTGAAGAAGTCATAAAGAGCGTAAAGAGACAAAGTTCAACCGAGATTCAACGTGCACAAATTCTTTCAAGTCTGAATACAAAGGGGGAGAATGTTAGGACTGAAAGTCAGTTTAAAATTGTATTCTTCTTGAAAGTTACTATTGTCTATAATTAAAATAGACATCGTGTTTGACTTTGTTTGTAAGGTTTGACTTAATCATTTGACTAGTTGTTTGACCCTATAAATAGGGTGTTAGTCTTTGTAATCTGTAGGAAGCTTATTGTAAAATTCATTTTACGTAAAAGAAATGTTTGACCAAGTCAAGGGCATTGACTTTCTCTCTCAACTCTATGAAGTTCTTAATATTCATATCCAGATCTGCCATGAATCTATGAAGATTTATCTTGAAGATTGATTAGAGTGGGACAAAAAAAGTCTTCAGAGAAAGGAAGAGAATTCTGAAGGCAATCTTCTATCATTTCTACATTATGGAAATTTCGAAGAAAGGAAGATTTATCTATTGATTTCTCTAGTGAGGTATGCATATTTATCCTTGATTATTTTAAGATATCGTTTTTTAAGAGTTTACCATTTCTTATAGGGTTTTTGTATTTTGGGGGATTTTGATTTAGATTGGTTCATAGATGAAGAACTGTTGGATTATATGGTGAAAATTATTTTAGATTTGAATCTAGGTACGATTTAAAGATTAAAATTGTTTTACCTTGTTGATTTATGGAAGTTTTGTTCAATATTCATGGATTTGGGGGTTTTCATGCTTGGATTATCAATTTTGAGTTTTGAATGGAGAGTCTTGGAGTTTGATTATGTTTAGATGTTCAATCGTGTATTAAAACCTTTGGAAAAGGTAAAATAATTGGGTTTTAAGTTGGTAAATGCATATAATCGACGTTGGGATGTTGGATATGGATTTTTGGGTTGAAATTAGAATTTTCGGACCGTGCAGAAGAAAACAGTGGGTATCATGACCTCAGCCACGACTTGGGTCGCTTGCCTAGTCACGTAAATCCATGTTTATATATTTTCAAAATTTGTCGGTTCTTGTCGTGGGTTCAGTTTGGGATGTTGTTTAATAGTGTTGCTTAGGAGGTAATAAAATATGATTAGTGAATTAATTAAGGAGGTTTAACACCTTTCTATTTCGGTGAATTCGGGTGTTTGGTTGTTGGATTTTTGGTCTTAGAGTGTATGTTAAGGCTTTGAACCGCATGTGAGTTTTCTCTTGTATTATTTTCTACAAACTTATACCCATTAGTTATAATGGAATTGTTATTTGATTGAATTCACATAGTGTGCGTCATATACTTGAAAAATGTTTACTTGTCTAGTGTTAGTACTTGGTGTGAGTGTGTATTATGATATTCCTATTTATGGGAAGTGTCTACCTGAATGGAGCACATGAATTCGTTTCATGTAAGCTCACTTATAGGTCAAGTGTGCGCCCAATTCACTGGTCACAAGTGTGCGTGAAAATAAGTGTGTTCAACCATTGCAATAAGTATTGGTGTTATATTGATTCAAGTGTGTACGTTATTATTTTTTACTATGTTTTACAATGAAATATTTCAGTGTGTATTCATGTGATAGAGAGAATTCACTAGACCTTTGGTCTAACCCTCGCTCTCATAAAACTGAAAACCTTTTCAGGAAAGTACCATCTAGCAAGGTCAAGGGAAAAGTGTGAGCTATAGATTGGAAGGGAAGGCTGCTTTCTTCTAGTCAGATAATCACCTAGAATTTATTCAAGTTTTGTAATTAATCTCAGTAGTATACTTTATTTCCCCTGCAACTCATGAGATCTTGTTGAATCATATATTTATGTTAGTATTTGTACTTGTCGAAGTGGTGCAAAGTTTACGAAATGTCTATTCCGAGTTTCTGGTTGTTACAAGTGGTATTAGAGCCTTAGTTCAAGAGATTTAAGTGTCGAGGTAGACACCTAGACTTAAACTAGATGGAGTGTTGGTGGTGCAAGTGTTCAATTATGAGTCCCAAGTTAGAAATGTTTTATGTGGTCGAAAGCTAACTCATTGAGAATTTTGAAGATGGTAGTGAGGACCCTTGTGTAAGGTAAATTCAAACTCGCATCTTGCCAATGTCATTATGAATTTACAAGTACATGAGTGTGTTTGATTACTATCATTGAGACGATTTGAATGTTGTAACACCCTAAAATCTGGAAATAGTGACTAATTTAAAATTTTCATTAATACAACAATTAAAGGGAAACCCTTTTCTAGAATCAATATTTGAATTACCTCGAATATCAAATCTAAAGTCATCATCAGCAAATGATAGACAAAGTTTTACATAAAGACTATGTTAAGGTCGGGTGTTACTATAATCCAATAATTGTTGCTATCTTTAATAGCAGAAAACATCAATGATAAGCTAAAACCTTCTCGTGCAACTATTTAGCACTCATCTCATCACGGTGTCGCTAGTACCATTTCCTCACAAACCTGAAGCACATGCCGACAAAGGAAAAAAGGTAAAGGTTAAAACCTAGTGAGTTCAAGCTGTTTTCATCATAATTATAAAATGATAAAACCAAAAGACTGTTGATTTAAGTCATAATTTCGCAAATGAAATATCTTTATTGTAAAAGCAACATCTTTTAGAAACCCACCATTTTCTTGTTGAAAACTCATTAATCAAAATATTCAATTATATACAAAAAAAACACAATACTCATGTTCTAGAATTTATCAACCAATCACAAGTTCAATTAAGATCACACAAGATCAACAATGGCAGTTTATATGAATATTGTAGAGAGAGAAAGTTTCCAAAGGATTGTATATTGATCTTCAAAGATTACAAGTTACAAATGATAAAACACTTTTTAGAAATAAAAAGGAAACAAGACTATTTATACAAAACAAAAATGCAAAGGAAACGATTGAATACAGTTACAAAATATCAAACCCAACATTTTCTCCCTTTGGATTCAAAATCTAGATATTGAGAATCTTGATCTTCGGAATCTAAGGTGAGTTTCAAGTCTTCTAACAACATTTTTGTACTCTATCTTTTCGTCAAACAAATCCAAAGCTTTAAGCAGTAAGAACCTTTCCCTTAACTTTAGCTCATCAGACCCTAAAGTTTTATCATCCTATACCTCTTTAGATTCTAGCTGTCATTTTATCAACTTGATTGTACCATCACTGTACTTTGACAACGTAGAGAATCTTAGAAACCTTTTAGCAACCTCAACAATTTGATATACCACTCCAAACTCTGGATCTTCAAATATCATAAACAATGGATGACAATCAACATCTTCTAGTTCTTGATAAGGATCAACATATTCACTTTTTTTTTTGGAAAAGGATCAACATATTCACTTTCTTTATTTCTTTCATAGCCTATTGAACGTCGATTATCGAAGACAACTTACTGTAACACTTGAAGAATCTCTTGATGGATTCCATTGCTCTAACAACTCCTTCAAATCTGACAGTCTGCTTTCTGAACTCGTGGTACATGAATTCTAAGTCTTCTAGGTACAGGTTTGGAAAGTCAGCTTCACAGAAACACCATTCTTTGCCCTCTTGACGAACAACATAAAAGACTGGATACCACAACTTTAATAGTTATCTAGATTCAACCTTCTTGATTGATACAATCCGATGCCTTGTTCTAACATAGTGAAGGGTCTGTTTTTTCACGTTCATGAAGTACTTGTATTCTTGTCTATAAGCTAGAGTCTTTGTTTGAATTCCCAAAACTTTTTCTAAGCTCATATCTCTTAGAGAATGAACAAAAATATCCCGATAGATGTCTTCCAGAAAAGGTTAACTAATTCTCGTTTTGTCCCACTTTGGAGCAAAGACCTTTTTAGACATTGGAATGTATCTGCACGAAGATGAAACAGTTTCAGCTCGAGGTGGATAAGTTGTAGAAGGAACAACTGGTGGTTCTGATTAAGGTACATGTTTTTTATTCAGCACATTCAGAAAAGGGAACTTTGATTCATTGTCATTCAGATTAGCTTCAAATTCAAACATAAGATCGTCTGAATCAACATCTTCTTCCCCTGACTTAACAAAGAATTCTTGATCTCCACCTTCAGCTTCAGCATTATCATCAATAAAATCAGCTGATACACCCAGTATCCTCCTCATTTCTGCTCTAGAGACCTCCAACTTCTCAACCATCGGCTCAATTTCTAGGTTTACATACAAAACTAATTCTCTCCCTGTCACCCTTTCACCAGAATAATCATTATTATGCTCTTTAGATGCTTCATTATTTTCAGACTCACCACCCGTAAATCCTGATGACTCAGCCACTCTTTGCCTTTTGGTCTTTTCCTCATGGTGATCAGAATCATCCTAGTCATCATGTCTTCGTTTAAGATTAGTGGCTTGAGTTTTACAAGAAGTTTCTAGTATTGAAACTCTTTTGGATAGTTCATTAAAGGAATCCTCAATGGATTGGGTAGAAGAGGTGATTGTTGAACCAATCTTTGACAAGCTCGAGACAACAACATTTTAAATTTTTTGAAATTATGTGGCTCTGAAGGTTTGGGACACTTCAACTGATTGTCGAAGCATAGCAACCAAGTCAGCATCTATCGAATCCATACTTGGTTGAGATAGCATCTTGGCATATAACATGGATTTCAGTTCGTCCACGGATAGACCCATATCTTGTTGAGGTTGAGGTGGTTACGACGGAATACAAACTTCGTCGTCTGTAGGTTGCTTTCTCTTCAGCAAAGACTTGAGACCCCTTATCTTCCCCATTAAATTATCTTGAACAACCGTTAGGGCGCCGTTCAGATATTCTCTTGACACAAAATCAGGTAAATTAACTCATGGATCACTTAGATTGCCAGTTGAAACAATAGTTGAGTAAACTGTTGTGTCTACGTTCAATGTTGGAATTTCGTTGACATTGGTAGGACTTTCGACCTGTCCTCGTAAAAAGTCAGTGAGTGACTCTACTTGGGTCGTTCCGAATTGTTCACTAAGAAGAGCGTATTGAGCAATGGATGATCTAGAAATATGTGTATTAATTGATATAGGAATAGAAGGCTCAAGACTCGATGTATTTTCCAAAGAAGTCCTAGAGCAGGGAAAATGTCTACTATTTTCAATATCCAATTCCTTCGAGTGAGGAACAAATAGATTATGTTCTAAGTCCCCGTGAGAAAGTGAAATAGATACCTGTTGAGATGTATCTGAGTGGCCAGGGGTATGCAGTTTCATAGTTGGGTGGACTATGTCTTTTTCAATGCTAACACTCAACGAATGAGTGCCAACAACAAATGTGGTTACTCTTCTTCTCCTAAAGGTTAGGATAGGAACTTCATTATTTTGCATTCCTGTCACACTCTCCCCATAGTTTTCTCTTTCTCTTTCTCTTGACCTCTCTAAATTTTTAACTTGTTCTCCCTCGTCCTCCTCCTTAAATCTTCCATGATATTATCAATTTCTTCTTCAATATCAAAATCTGGAATAGAGTCCTCGAAGTTGAACTCTATTTGTTGAAAGTCATCAATGTTTGTCTGAATAGGCTCAGCATCATACATATTATTATCACCATCATCATTATCATCATCAGAGTCATCATCAACACTTGACTCAACTGCTTGATTATCATTATCATCAGAATTAGTGTCTTCCAAGCTTGATTCATTGTTGGAAACACCTTGTTCAGCATGATCAGAGTCTCCCCCAACTGAACCCCTTTCAATTACATTTCTCTCTGAACACTCTATTCAGATACCCCTTGTATCTAAACTCTCTCAGCTAGACCTAGAGGACCCTCACTACACATAGCTGAGACATGGGTTACTCCCGAAGTAAGTCCCTCTAATTCTGGATGGACTATAAGAGATATCACTCCCCTATATTCTAGTACGCACAGAGAACTCTAATCAGCATAGTCCAATAACTCTTTCGGTATGGACATAATGGAGATCTTCATCCTCTATATGAGCTCTGAAAAATTTCATCTCGTAGTCCGAACCGAACGGTCTGTCAATCCTTGATGGGATGTCTTTGTTTGACCGTATTATTAACATAATGATCAACTGTAAAAAATCTCTGAAATGGAATGACCTTTCTTCCCTTTGAGGCGAATTTATTTGCGTGAAACAGTTTAACAAGCTCATTCCAGATAATTATTTTGTAGTCATAGTGCTTGTTGAAGACCAGACCATGAAAGAACCTCAAGAAAGATGTGCTGCATGTGTCCACACCGACAGTTTTGGAAGTCATGCATCTATTGAGTATTGAAAAGACAAGATGCCAAACTGATGGAAGGAAATTTCGTTTGAACTGCTTCGGGTTGTCGAGGACACCGACATATCCCACTCTCTTGATGTGAGTACATAATTATTCCTCGAAAACAATGTCATCAAAGGTTTTTTCCCCTGGAAATGAGTTAGCTTCGGGTAGATTCAGAATCCTCAGTCGTTTAGTGTAAGTCGGCTCAGAAAATTATCTACATGTCCCTCGAAATAGAGTTGGTTGCCATCTTTGATGTATGACAAGGTGTATCAGAACTATTGTAGATAGACAAGCGAGACATCCACAGTTGCTATCAAAGCAAATGAAATTCTGTGGCCTTTCAGTATCTCCATCATGATCGAGAATTCTGTTTTCATTTCCATGTGTAAGTGATGGTTGTTTGGTTTAAGGTAAAGGTATAAGGGTTTTGGAAAAAGAATTTCGTCAGGATCTGTGGCATTTCCTTTTGTCACGTCTGAAACATAAGGAGCACATAGAACAATTCAGAAGAACGTTCCCTACTGGGAGCACAAGTTTGGCACATGGCTCATCATCCATCTCTCCAAGGGAATCATGAAATGAGAATACAAAATACAAAAAAATACTTTTCACTAAGCCATTGGCTCCTCTTCCAGGAGAGTGTTTCCACCAAACTCAACTTTAACTAGAACCCGATATCTTCATGCCCAAATTGCCATGTTGATAACCACACTGACCTCTACATCAGAACCCAAAACAAAACATTACACCAACATTAGAGTAAATATTGAATACTATTAGACCAATCTCCCAAAACCAGAGTCTCGGTTACCTCCCAACCTTAGGTAACTCATATCATCTCGAGTGTGGCTCACGGCCTTAACGACTCAATTCTACAATTGATACCTTGATTGAATTTACTTTTAAATTTTCTAACAACCTCTAACAATCTAAAACAAAATCCTCACTTGCATTCAATCCGTCGATAATTCCGCATAAATCTGACTTAATTGGCAATCGGTAATACCTTTTGAAGCAGAGTGGTCAAAATCACCTCGACTTTACCCGGGTGGTAAAGGAGCTCTATATAAGTGTTCTTGGATGGCTCATCCACTACCATTAATACCTCGACACATCATCCTGGACTAATCAAAGTCTCCTTATTAGAACAATTTTCGCTTAAGGTCTATTCTAATACTCTCTCTAAGTTTCTTTACTGATTAATATCAGAAAAGATTCATCATCCTTTCTTGAAGAAATTCCTAACAACTAGTTTGGTCCAGTTCATTGCAACCCTGAACCCAAAATCCAAACTAGCACGATGTAGGCCAAACATAGGGGTTTCTCAAGATTTCTTAATTCCATTATTCTTTCCAATAACATGACTTTTCTATCTAGGACTACGCTAAATTACTCCCATAGAGTTGGTCGCAACCGACACATCAATTGGACTGCTCCCAAGGGTACCCAATTATAGATCATTTAAAAGATGAAATATTTACAATTCAAGAAACTCTTAATCAATAATACTCACTTATCAATATCTAAACTCCTTAGAGTCACCCCAAACATTACAAATGATCCCTAGGATTCAATGATAGTACTCAAAGTACTTCAATGGTTCTTTGCCTTAAAATCAAAAAGTACACACCTAATATCACTAATAGACTCGAACAAGAAACAAATAATTTGTCCATGACAACTCACCAAGAGGTACACCATCTCCAAATAGTAGATATGAACATCCACACAAACAAGCAGCGAACAAAGCTTCCAACCTAAAGCTTGCCGAAACAAAAAGATCACCACTTCCGTAACTGGGATGACTCACAAGTCTGGTACCTCAGAGTTCCATATATACATTAAATTTTCAAACTGAACTCCCGAAATTCAAACCCAAACACGAGTTGGATCATCTGACGTTTCAACTTCCGAGGACTTCTCTTACCCTCAAACACAATTCCCTTCTCAAAGGGTTTACATCCAAGGTTTTAATGAGTTCAAGGTTTTTTCAAGTACAAAACTTAACAAATATGCCAATTTACAACTTTAAAAAGATTTACCGGACAAAAAATCTTTATAATTAATCTTTTTACGCCTAGAAGTTACTACGACAACGTGGAAGTCATGCAAAGTGGCCACAATTGCAACACATGAAACCAATTTGAAAGCTAGCTACTTGATCATTACTCAAACCAATAATGATAACGATGAAATAGGCTTAACAAACTTTTTAAATGCATTGATATATTGCTAACATGCATTTATTTACGCCATGTATATATGTACTAAAATAGTATGCAACAAGATGCTTGTAAAAACTTCAAAAGAGGAATTAGACGACATCAAAGTCCAAAAAAAAAATTCTCTTTTAACCATAAAACGACATGGAATAAAATCCCCAACAAGACTCGAATGCACCAGATTATTTCTCAAAACTTAGTAAAATTATATGTGCATGTGCTTAGGTTGAAACACGATATTAATTTAGGTCAGTTTCAAAATTAAAGCCAAACATCAATAAGCTCCCATTATTCTAAAATACTGGCTATAATATGTAAAGAAATCTTCAAATTACAATATGCATATAAATCATATGCTACAAAACAATTGCACAATAATGCAAAGGAAAACTTTGCAACTGAATGCCATCAAAATCTTCACATCTAACCAACAAAATCGCATAAAATAGAGTTCTTAACAAAACTTCAAACGTAAATTCATGCAATAAAACAAGCTTATGCATTTTAGATTTCACTCTTGAGCCACAAAACACGTAAAATGAAATTCCAATAAAACTCGCAAACACATATATACAATCGAGTGGTCTCGTGTATTCAAAATTTGATCCGACTCCTTTTATATACTTTAAATTATGTGCAATATAACAATCATGTGTATTTTGAGTAAAGTATGAATTTATTCATGTATGTTTTAAATTGAAAGATATTCCAAAGTACACCTTCGTCCATTCACGATAACAGCAAAATCAACATGGAGAAAACTTCCGATAAATGTTTGTATGGAAACTTATAAGCAACAAAACAATTCATGAACTTCTAAAACATGGGCTACACTCTCGGGTGTGCCAAAACGTTCTCCCAAAATTCGCAACGTGACAAATACGAACGACTTGACAAAGCATGGATAAATTATGCAATTTATTTTAGAAGAATATCGTGCATGAATCTGGTTGGGACCTAAAGTCTTAAAGCCACGCCCGTCAAGTATACTACTCACAAGACTGTTATTGGAAAGCTCAAATATCTGAAGGCGATAGTTCACAACTAAGTCAATTAACCTTGCAAACTTTCTTTCCATATAAAGATGATTCAACAAACCTATGGTTCAAACTTAACCAATATTTCTGACCCACAAATGTCGGCTTAGCGTAATCACCATACTTATCTGTCACTCAAAGTGACAATGCTACAAACATCAATTATTCTAATGATTACTCAATGAGAATATACTCACTACCCTATCGATTATCACATAAAAGGTAATTCAAGCACACACACGTAACTGTAAATTCATATTAACACTGGCCTAGAAAAAATATAAATTTATCTTACATCATGATCCTTGCTACAATCATCACGATTCTTGATACTAATGTCTCTATCGACCTCAAAATATCCTATCTTAAAGTGTCTAATCGCACATTCTCACTTTCATTTGCTTAGAAAAATGCTACTTTATGTCTAGCTATCCTAAACCAATACCTAAATCTTTTAAACTTATGATGTAATACCAATTTCTAACACCCTAAAATCTGGAAAGTGCAACTAATTTAAAATTTTCATTAATACAACAATTAAAGGGTAATTCCTTTTTCTATAATCAATACTTGAACGACCTCGAATATTGAATCTAAAATCGTCATCAACAAATGATGGACAAATCTTACATAAAGACTAAGTTAAGGTCAGGTGTTACTATAACCCAATAACTATAACTATCTCTTAAGGCAAAATACATCATTGATAAGCTAAAACCTTCTTGTGCAACTATCTACCACTCATCTCATCATGGTGTCCCTAGTACCATTTCCCCACGGACTTGATGCACATGTCGACAAACGAAAAAGGTTAGGCTGAACAAGTTCAAACAGTTTTCATCATAATTGTGAAAAGGTAAAATCGAAAGACTGTTGATTTAAATCATAGTTTTGCATATGAAATATCTTTATCATAAAAGAAACACCTTCTTGAAACCTACCATTTTCTTAATGAAAACTCATTAATCAACATACCAATTAAACGCAACCAAAAGCCAATACTCACACTACCAAAAATAAATCTATAAACATTAAGATGAAAAACATAGCCTAAATCAAGTCTTTAACGCAATTTACTCATGCTTACCCCTGGGAGGGCATAAATCATCTGATGATGATGGGAGGGACCCGATTTACTATTTGTTGTGACGAAACACATAGTAAGCCACAATCTAATATTATATGAGCATCACTTGCAGGTAAGTAACGATTGACATCAACCAAATCCAGTCTATAGTCAAATGAGATAACAAGTTCAACTCTATTGTGTCTTTCGCTTGAAGAGTCACCAAGTTCAACCTTTTCCGGTTCTTTACCTTGAGATCTCCCAACCAAGATGTAGCTCGTTCACCTGGAGATTACATAATAATCACAATGCATATTTCTAAGTTATAGTAAGGGATGAATTGGAAATTACATAAAAATCACAATGCCTATTTCCAATTAAGAATAAGAGAATCCCATCCCTTACATATACCACAAAACTGACTCTTATGCTTATGGATCCATTGCGTCACTGTCTAAAATTACATGACACAGATGAATGACCAATGCACCCAAAATGTTATCAAATAAATATGGCATAACCCCATATAAATCCAAAGGCCCAACATAGAGCAAATTAAATCGACGAATGTCCCCAAGGATCATTTAAGTCAAGACTGTGCCAAATGCTCAACAATTTCATTGACAATAAAATAAAAGTCATCAAAAGGAATAAAATGTATTTACCCAATGATTATGCAAACACATGCTCCAAATGCATGATTAACTCAAAGTCCCATAATTGGTTGAGACAGACCATTTTCCAAATGAAATCATATTCTTATTTTTCCATAATGCCTCATAACACGAAAACATGCATTTTCCAAACAGTCTATAAAATCAATACACCACAATGCATTTATATCAAATAATTTTCCATTGGTACGATAAATCATAAACAGAATACATTTTTGAGATATATATATATATATATATATATATATATCAAAATGTCCCAAAACATAAGTATAGGCATTTTACAAAATCTATTAACCCAAATTACCAAATATGCAGCTAAATACTTGACACATTTGATAAACATCAAATAGAACACTTCAACAATTCAAAATACACATTTTGGCATGTACATAGTTTCTTACAAAACAACTTGAACTCACATTGCTAGGTTAGGTTAAACCTAGGTTTTAAACCCAAATCTTTAGTTTCCAAAATGGAGACTTGAGGTCCAACAAACAAGAACTCTTCTAAAAGCTTTCTCCAAATCACCACCCAAGTCTATAGATGCTTAAAAATCAACCATAATATTAGATCCACAGCAAAACTCAAATCTAGATCTCAAAATACCCAAAAACTTACCTCCTCAAGAAATTGAAGGTTCCAAGATAAAACCCACCATGAGACTCCTCAAATCACCTCAAAATTATCTTAAAATGCTCCAAAATTGATCTTCTAGCTACAAAATCTCCCATGAGAACAAAATTTGGAATTGGGAGAAGAAATATGAAAAACCCTAGCAAAATCGGGCATCAAAGTGAGCTGGGTGTTTGGGGCCACTTTTGGTGCCGTTTAAGTCTCCTGGTCCTGCCAGGCCGTCTAGTCGTTGCTAGGTCGACCGTCCATTCCAGACCGTTCCTTTATCGTTTTCATATGTTCCTCGTTTCTTTTCGCCCGTTCCTTGATCATCATCTAAAAATTACAGGTGTTACAAATGTGGTAATACTTATTAAGTGCTTAACTTGCATTTATTTCCCTTAAGGAGTTTCGGTGTGCTATAAGAAATTGTTTATGATGTAATTGTTAGGACCTTCAAGAAGAAGTTTTGTTTGAAGGTGTCGGTGACTCAACTAGAGGAAGAACTCTTGGGATTTAAGGAAGGAAGTATAATTGTTTAAGAGTGTACTCCTAAATTATGGAAAGTATCCAATTACAAGGTTCGTTGCATCTGTTGAATGTCATATAATGAAGAGGCACATTTGGGTATTGGATGTTTCTATAAGAATGCAGATAATGATAAATTCATTGATTATATAGTGGGATGAAGATTACTAAGAATAACATAGGATCATCAATTCGGGAAGTAAAAGAAGGATGTGAAGGAATTGAAAACTTGAAGAAGTCAAAGATGTCGAAATCAGATAATCAGCATGCCAGTTGATCAAATGGAAAATTGGATATTATAGGTAACCGAGTGTCATAGGATATCTATTCCAAGAGTTTCTAAAAGTATGGAAGGTTCATACCTTGGTTAATAACTCTAAGCCGATAAGAAGTTGTTGCTAAATTGCGATATAGTTGGAATAAGTTGCCCTATATTCTAGTATAAGCTTCATGCATCAAGCCATTTTTATTTTAAAATGGGTTTCACGAGTTACTTCACATTACCAACATAATTGTATGTGTGTGTGAGTGCATTGATTTTTGTGTTTTGATAAATAAACTAACACATATAAACATGTGCTAAACATTTTAGAATGCATAAAAGTGCTCCGTTTGTATTGGGGTAACATATTTGTTAAACATATTGAATCCAAATATTTGACGTTTATTGAGTTTAACGTAAGTAATACAGAACCATAACAAGAACAGAAATATAACTACAAATCTAAAATACTGTTGATAATACGAACAGATGAACATAAATACTAACAGTGATCTGAAGATCGTATGAAGAGATGAAGAATAGGTCGAGATCTTCAAACTCAGGTAAGAGAGATATTTGAGAGAAAACCTAATTAGTTTTTGAGCTAAGAAAAAATGAATCGTATGAGATGAGACCGTTCATTTTTCTTTATATATCTTTTGTCTTGTACAGCTTTGCCCCTTCAACTTTGTAGACAATTGCTCCGCTAACCTTCATCTATTGTAGAAAGTGAGGCACAGTCCTTGTTCTTTATGTCAACACTCATTCTTTCAATATTTGCATTATCTGCCCAACCCTGTTAACATATTGACAAACAAGGTACGTTCAAAGTAAAGTCAGACAAGTCAAGATTGGATAATACATACATTTTAACACCCACCCTCAATCTTGACTTTTAAAGAGATCAATCATTTTTAATTTTGTGCACATATAATTGTGATGATTGATACTAAGAGCCTTGGTTAAAACATCTGCAGTTTGTTCGGAAGAGGGAATCTTTACAATTTTAATAACTCCTCTACTAATTTTTTCTCTAATATAGTGAATATCAATCTCAATGTGTTTTGTTCTTTCATGAAAGATAGGATTATTAGCAATTTGTATGGCAAATTTATTGTCACAGAATAAATTGACAGGTAACAGATTGTTTATATCTAAATCAGATAAAATTTTGAGAATCCAGACAATTTCACATGACACAGCTGCCATTGCTCTGTATTCAGACTCAGCTGAGGAGCGTGAGACAGTGCTCTGCTTCTTGCTTTTCCAGGATATTAAAGAATTTCCAAGAAATAAACAAAAGCCAGTAACAGATTTTCTGGATAAGAGACACTTACCCCAGTCAGCGTCTACGAAAGCAGTTAGGTTAAAAATATCTGACCTTGTAAGGCTTATTCCTTTTCCAGGAGAGAGCTTGAGATACCTGAGAATTCTTAGTGCAAGATTTAAATGTGATTGTCTAGGTGCATGCATAAACTGACTTAGACAATGAATAGAAAAGGCTATATCTGGTCGAGTTGCTAACAAATAGATTAACCTACCTATTAATCTTTGGTAACCAGTACAATCAGCTAACAACTTATCTTTTGAATCATTTGTACTTGAAATAACAAGATTAACATCCATAGGAGTATTAGCAGGTTTACATCCTAAATAACCGAAATCATTCAATAGCTCCAGGCAATATTTTCTTTGGGACATACATACACCATCTATGCAATCTAAAATTTCAATTCCCAAAAAAAACTTTAACTTCCCCAAATCTTTAATCAAAAAATTTCCTTGTAAAAAATCTATGAAGGCATTTATTTCACTCTGGCAATTTCCAGTAATAACTATGTCATCAACATACACAAGCAAAACAAGAAATACAAAATCAAGATGCTTTGTAAACAACGAGTAATCACTAATGCTTTGAACAAACCCATTTTCAATTAAACAGGATGAAAGCTTGGCATACCACTGACGTGGAGCCTGTTTTAARCCATAAAGAGACTTTACCAACTTACATACACGCTTGTCATTGGAACTGTAATAACCTTCAGGAAGGGTCATATAAACATCCTCAACTAAGTCACCATACAGAAAAGCATTGTTGATATCCAACTGATACAAAKGCCATTTAAACTGAACAGCAAGRGCAATAATACATYTTACCGTRACCATTTTGACTACGGGAGAGAAAGTTTCCTCATAGTCAATACCCTCTCTTTGACTATAACCCTTAGCAACTAACCTGGCCTTATATCTTTCAATTTCTCCATTAGATTTATATTTTATCTTATAAACCCATTTACAACCAATRGCCTTTCTATTATTARGTAACTCAGTTATATACCAAGTTCCATTCCTATGTAARGCTTCCATCTCCTCATTCATAGCATTAATCCAATTCTGGTCACTATAAGCTTCGCTAAATGTTTTTGGCTCCACAGATTTATTKAGATTAGAAACAAAACAAAGGTTTTCAGAAGACAAGCAAGAGTAATTCACTACTCTTTCTATACCATACTTAACTTTTCCTTCGATCACAAAATCATCATATTTCTTAGGAAAAATGCTAGCTCTAGGAAACCTTCTAAGATTTTGAGKTTGGGAAGAAACACCCTCAGAGYCATGACCTAAGGTTTCATCARCATTTCCACCAGATGGGGTAGCATCACAAGGTAGGCTGGCAACCACTCTAGGGCTACCTAAAGGCTGCCAACTGGTAACTCGAGTAAGATCACCTTGTTGAGGTGAATCTTGAATGTTATGAATATCAGAGCTGCCAAGTAACTGACTATTATCAGTTCTAGATAGGCCGCCTAGCTCACTTCGGTTGCTATCCCTAGATTCAGACTGACTAACAGTTTCAGTCTCTAAAGGCCCAACACTCTCATCATTGGGTCCCACAACATCAATATCATTAGAGGATCCAGACACAGTATCGAAAAAATTTAAAAYATCAAGCTCTTCAATTTTGGTCTCATCAGTATTGTCACTACTCATCTTAAACGGAAAAATGTTTTCATAGAACTTCACATCTCTGGAAAAAATTATTTTCTTGGTATCAAGACTATATAGTCTATAACCTTTCTTGGAATTGGCATAGCCGAGCATAACACATTTTTCAGATTTGGGTAAAAATTTATCARTTATATTAGGAATATGAGCAAAGCATAGACACCCAAARTTACGAAGATGAGTAAGAACAGGCTGAAAACCATAAATCAAATCATATGGACTCTTACCATGTAATATGGAAGATGGGGTTCTATTAATCAGATAAGTAGCAGTCAGAACACATTCATTCCACATATTAAGAGGGACACCAGCYTGAAACATTAAAGCCCTAGCAACGTTAAGTAAGTGTCTGTGTTTACGCTCAACAATTCCATTCTGTTGTGGTGTGTACACACAAGAAGTTTGATGAATTATTCCTTTTGTTTCAAAGAAACCATTTAATTTTTGATTTACAAATTCTGTTCCATTGTCACTTCTGCAAATTTTAACATTTTTTCTAAATTGAGTGAACAAAAAACTACAAAAATTTTCAACATATTCACCAACTTCATGTTTATTTTTCAAAAGATAAACCCAAACAGCACGAGTGAAATCATCGACAATGGTCAAAAAAATATCTGTATCCCTCTCTACTCTGGACATGATATGGACCCCAGACATCTAAGTGAATGAGATCACCAAGACTATTGGTTTTATGTGTGCTAGAGACAAATCGTTCTCTAGTCTGTTTTGCCTTGTGGCAAATCTCACAGGGACCACTAACATCATTTCCAATTTTAAGATTTTTCTTTAAAACAGAGAGAACTTGATCAGCAGGATGACCAAGACGACTGCGCCAAAGATGGGAAGAAACAAAACAAATTATACTACAGTCATTTATAGAAAGAGCAGTATTACTGACAAGATTGTGATAAAAAAAGTACAGTCCTCCATTCTGACTACCAGTCCCCACAATTTTCTTCTGCAGACAGTCCTGAATATAACATTTTGTTTCATCAAAACTTATGAAAACTWTATTGTCTCTTGTTAATTTGTGGACAGACAGAAGGTTAACGTTGAAATCAGGGACAACAAGGACATCAAATAAAACCACATTATTAGATAGTTTTAAGTTCCCAATTTTATTTATATTGGCCTTAGTCCCATTGGGATGAGAAACTTTAAGATTTAAATCCGTAACATCAACCATATTTTCTAGATTTTGAAAACTAGAGGTCATATGTTGGTTGGCTCCGGAGTCTATTRTCCAGCCAKAAKTAGAATTTTCAAACRTACCTGCCATATTGGCGCAGGCATCAYCGGAACCAGTGGTATTAGATGGAGTTTGACCAATTAAGCTCAAGAGTTTAGTGACCTGATCTTCTGAAAAACTAAACGGAGACTTTTGAACAGTAGAAGTAGAATCAGATGTTGAAGCATTTCCAGAAATAGATTTTGGATTTTGAGATTTTGAATTCTAAAATTGATTTGAATTAGAGGA